CATGTTTCGGAACAATCAAAGAATTAGGATCGAATAAAAGTGAGGCTAAGGTGAGTGCAATTTAATTGTACGTATGTTATTGAACATACATTGGCTTGCGATGTGCCAGTGGCGGAGTTACTATGGTAAGAAGTGACTCCTAAAATGTTATATAGTTGATAGAATTCTTATATGTGCATGAGTACATGAAAATAGGTATATGTTATTATATGTGATTATAAGAGCAATAAGATGAATACATGCATATGTCTATAGAGTAAGTGTATTTCTACATGTGATTTATGTGAATACATGTATGTGTGAATATGTTTGGCATGATTACATGATCATAAGATATAAACAATGTGATAAGTGATATGTGAATATATGAAATTATGAGACAAACGATTAAGTGCTTAAGAGATATAGGAAATAAGATAGGTGACATGTGAATCAAATAGAAATGATTTATGCATAAGTTTATATGTTATTCTATGTGCTATGTGATGTATATATATGAACAAGATGTGACATATGTGCTTATATAAAAATATGAGAAATGATATAAGCCATATGAAACTATCTACGTGAATACATGCACTTGTGATACATGTGATATGATATGAGATATATGTTTACACATACATATGGTATGTGACAGAAGAGAAAGAAATATGTGATCATATGAAATGTGATAAAGAGCTATGTGAAAGAATAAGTGATATGAAATGTATAAATGATAATGCCCATGTTATGTGATATGAGAGCTAGTGGTATATTTGGCATGCCAAGAGTCGAGGGTCTACGCTGTAATGGCCCAAAAATTTATTTAAGGATTAAATTGAAATGATTTAAAAATATGAGGATTTATTAAATTAAATAATGAAAGACGAAGATGAATATGATTCATAGCTTAGACTAAATTGTAAGAAATGATGATTAAAATGATATTTTGGTCATTTGGATTAAATTGAATTTAATATTCAATTAGTGGGGAATTAAGTTAAGAGATAAGATGAAGAGGGGAATAGGAAGTCAACCCTTTCATCTTCTTCTCTTCTTGTCGTGGAAAACTCTTCCCTTCAGCTCAAAGGTAAGTTTCCAATTTAAGGGTTATTTCCTTCGATTTTTATAGGGACTGAAGCTTCGTATATTATGGAAGCTAAAGGAAGGTTTAAATGAGATTAAAACTAAGTTATTGATGAGATATTAGAGATTACAGAAAATGGGTTTTTGAGTGACATGATGAAATATGAAGGTTTATGAATGTTTTATGGTAGATTTGACTTGTCATCAACTTACTTAAGAGATATGAAGTGTTAGAATTAGATTTAGAACATGTTGAAAATTGGGTATGATTCTTGAATCTCATGTAGAAGAAAAGATCTTGAGGTTAAGGATGTAGTAAATGCGTATAAATGAATTTAGATGAAGGTATTGGAGTTAAGGGTATGAAAGGGGTTGGAATATTGAGCATTTGAGCTGGAATTAAGTGATTTTCGTGCTCAAAATGTAAATTCTGGACAAAGTGCACCGATGCACAAGGAGTGTACCGATGCACACTTAAATAAATAAACATCGAATGTAGATAGTGCATCGATACATAGGCTCTGTACCGATGCACCAGTGAGAGGATGCATGGATACACTCTAAAATGTACCGATGAATACATTAAATAAATAAATGAAAATAACCTTTCTTTTAGTTTAAGAAATCAAAGATTTCAATATACTAATAAGTGATATTGAATGTGTCTTTAATGGATGCTTGAGTAGATCGAAATCAAGCTCCCGAGTCTAGCAAAACGAAAGGCAAAGACAAAGTAGCTGAGTAATCAGAATTACGTATTGGAAATAATAGCAAGGCGAACCATGTGAGTGCATTTAATTATGTACGTACATGTGATAATAGTTAAAATAACATAATTTATTGATGTATGTATAGTGATTACCGAATGGCACTTTGTGTGCTAAAATGATAAGAAAATCATACTGAGTGTATAGATTTTTATATGGAGCACTGAGTGTGCTAAAATGATAAGAAAATCATACTGAGTGTATAGATTTTCATATGGAGCACTGAGTGTGCTAAAATGATAAGAAAATCATACTGACTGTATATATTTTCATATGGAGCACTGAGTGTGCTAAATTATAAGGAAATCATATTGAAAATATGGATTTCCAAATAGGGCATTTTATTTGCTAAAATGGTAACAAAAATCATACTAATGGTATGAATTTTTTAATAGGGCACTTCGTGTGCTAAAATGAAAGGAGAAGCATACTAAGCGTATGGTTTTCCAGATAGAGCACTGAGAGTGCTAATATTAAAAGGAATTTACATGAATTGTATGAATTTCTTATTAAATGTATGGATTACAATAATGATTGATAAATGAGTTAATGGCATCAATAATGCATATTGTAGTATATTCATTGGAATTAAAGATTCCTTGGAGATTAAATATAAGAATATAACTTATACGTAGAAATGTTATTCGTGATTATTTATGCCTCACTAAGTAATACTTAACGTGTGTTTATTTCACGTGTAGGTTGAATACAGCTTGTAAGGAGATATTTGGATATTCAATCAAGGTCACCTCATCGGTAACCGTATGACATAAGGAACTGTTTTAGTTATATTTTAGTCGGCATGTAGTAGATTTAAATAAAAAAATGTTTTAAAGAAATTTAAACGTATTTATGTAAATGGTAACTGTATAGTGATGAACGGTTAAATTTTTATGAGTTTTATACATATTTGCCGAAGTTACTATAGTAGTACTTTTCACGTTACTGTAGCAGTGCATCGATACACTATTCACGGTATTGTTCATACGTATATTACTGTTCATGAAAAAGTATTTTTTTTAATTTGTTATAACAAACATAATTCATCAATATGTACTTGTATTTTATTAATATAAGTTCAAATGTGTTGTTACTTTGTAAGAACGTTGTTTTAAAAAGTCAATGTGATATCTCAGACTCATATCCGGGTCGGGTATGGGTTGGGGTGTTATATACGCGGTCATTCGGGACATATACAGTGGTCCTTCAGAACATATACAATGGTCCTTCGTGACAAATATATAGGTTCTTCGAGACAAATTTCATATGACACTCAGTGGGACTTTATACGAGTTGTGGTGACATCATTAGTGCACAACCTCAATGTACTCACATACCTTCAGTTCTCACCAGTGTACCATGGGCTAATAAAGAGATTAAACAAATATACTAAATGTGATATGTATATGTGATTTGTTATATGGAATAAATTACATGATTCATGTATTGGTTATATGAAAAGATATATGTTTGTAGTTATATGAACTGTATTACATGAATTATATGATGTTAAGTGTATTTCTTTATGAAATGGTATATGATGTGTAAATATGATAAGTATATGATTATATGATAAAAGGTATTAATGATAATAATATGATAATGTTAAGAAAGAGGATAATCATATATGTACATGTGTGGATTTGATATATGAAATGTTTTATGTTTTTATTATATGTTTATATGCCTCACTAAGTCTATGACTTAGCGTGAGATTGTTTCACACGTAGGTTTGGAAAGCAAAAAAAAGAAGTAAAGAGGAACAAGACAAGTTAGTTCTCCTTACCGAAGATCAGATCAGAAATGTAGATCGAATTACATGTATTTTGTTAGAAAGAATTTAGTTGGCATGTAAACAAAGATTTGAATCTGATATGTTTTAATCGGTTTTGTAAAATCATATGATTGAATTTTGTAATGTTTTAAATGTGTATATGTAAATGGAAATTTTATACGGATGAAACCTTAGATTTTTATGAATTTATATGTATTTTACGGAAGTATTGTAGTAGGGTATCGGTTCCCTGTAGCAGGAGAATCGGTTCCCTGGCAGTAATATGGAAAATTTTAACATTTGGTACTGTAGCAGAGTACTGTTCATGATATTGGTCATTAATGTTTACGGCACTGTTCATATCGTATTTTACTGTTCATAAATACGTTTTTGCCTTGAAATTTTATAACAAATACAATTCAATAATATATGATCGTATTTTCTTAAAATGAGTTCAAATGTTTTGATATTTTGTAAGAATATCGTTTTTAAAAGTCAATGTGACATCTCGAACTCGTATTCGGGTCGAATACGAATTAGGTGTTACATAATACTACTTTAATTTTATACTATTATTTGATAATTAAGCGATCCAAAACGACCCTAATTTAAATTACATTAAAATTTTAAAAATATAATTAATATAAATAAATTACAGTAAAAACATGTTATTTCATATTATAATAAACTTAGTGATTTTGTATAAAATATTATTTACATATCAAATCATAATAATTGAATGTAAAAAGTATAATTTGATTTAAATAATTTTAGTGATCGAAGGGATAAAGTAAATTTTAGCCTTTGAAATTGATAATTTTTTCTTAGTCCATAAATTTTATAACAAATCTTACTAATTTTTATTTTAATTCCTTTGAAATTGATAATTTTTTCTTAATCCGTAAATTTTATTTTAATTTGATAATGTGATCTTTAATATTATATTATATCATAAAAATATAAACGTAAAGACTGATAAAAAAACTAAGGGGTTATTTGTTTACTGTTGAATGATGAACAGTTCAACATTCAGCGTGTTTGATTCTCACAAACTAAATGAAGACTGTGTTGAATGATTCAGTAAAACACTGCTGAATGATTTAACATTAAATTAAATTTTGAATGATTCAGAACCATTATCAAACAACATGTCATATTCAGAATTAATTTATACAGAACATTTGAATCGTTCAGGCCATTGAATTATTCAACGATTAATCGTTCTGATTTAATTAAACAGCCCCTAAAAGAATTAAATTAAATTTTTACTTTGGTCTCAATTGAGTAACTTTTGCCAAGATCTTGTTTCTTGAACAGTAGAAGTTGATGGAAGAAGAAAGTCCAGATTGCAGCTTATAAATAATTGATTCTCCCTCCGAATTGATTAAAGGTGATCAATCCGCTTTTTCGTTGCATCATTTTCCCAGCCAAACCATAACAATCCTTCCAATTTTCCCTTTACTTTCTCTTGTTTCTTGTTTGCCTCCGATGGCGCCCTTGGACCCCCACTCCTTCGCCGACAGCAGAAACCCACGCACCACCGACGTCTCCCTTTCCCTCTACTTCGACTTCCCTTCCGCCACCATCCACGGCGTCGCTTTCTTCATCCTCTCTTTCTCTCCAACCGGTCAACTCTCCTTCGACACCCGCTCTCTTACCATCCACCAAGTCCTCGACCCCTTCAACCTTTCCCCACTCCCTTTCTCCCTTTCCTCTTCCCCTGACCCGATCAAAGGAACACAGCTTTCCATTTCATTCCCGAACGGCCCTCGTTTCAACTCCTTCTTCATCGTTTTCTCCACTTCCCCTTCATCTACCGCCCTCCAATGGCTCTCTCCGCCCCAGACTTTTAACAAGAAACACCCTTTCGTCTACACTCAATGCCAGTCCATCCACGCCCGCTCCATTTTCCCATGCCAAGACACCCCCGCCGCCCGAATCCGTTACACCGCTCTGCTCAACATTCCTCAGGAGTTATCCGCCGTTATGTCTGCCAGCCACGTGGAAAGGCGGCCACCGGTTTCCGACGAAGGACATTCGCATATTTTGCCGTATGGATTTAATTCGTTATGGAGTTCCGAAACGAGGGTAGTCGAGCAGTTTCACATGAACCATCCGATCCCGCCTTATTTGTTCGCTTTTGCGGTTGGGGAGCTAGGATCAAGGGAAGTTGGGCCGAGGACTACGATTTATGCTGAGGCTGTGGATAGCCTTTTGGATGCTGCGGCGAAGGAGTTTGCCGGGACGGAGGAGATGATCATTCAAGGGGAGAAGTTGTTTGGAAAATATCCTTGGGAGAGATTCGATTTGCTTGTTCTGCCGCCGAGTTTCCCTTATGGCGGAATGGAGAACCCGATGATGGTGTTTTTAACCCCAACTGTGATTAAAGGAGACGCCAGTGGGGCGCAGGTGGTGGCTCATGAGCTCGCTCATAGTTGGACCGGGAACTTGATCACTAATCGGAACAACGAACACTTCTGGTTGAATGAGGTAATACTCTGTTATTTTTATACTATTCCTTTTTGAAAGTATGAAGGATTTTATGTTTGAGCCGAATTTATAAAATTATAGTGGACGACATTTTTGGGAGACAAAAATATGATAATTTGAAAATTTCAAAAGGAAGATCATGCCGTTTTATTGATCAATAGAATGGTATATTGTTCGAAAGGATTTTTCCATTTTTGTGATGTCTTTTGACCTTTGCAAATTAGGTAATTTTGCTTTGTGGTCATAGGGATTTACAACATATGCAGAAAGGAGAATTGTTGAAGCTGTGCTGGATAAAGACAAAGCTATACTGAACACTGGAATTGGTTGGAAGGGTTTAAAGGATCAAGTGGAGAAATTTAAGGATAATTTGGAATTCACCAAGCTCAAAAACTGTCAGGAAGGAGTTGATCCTGATGCGATTTATTCTGAAATTCCATACGAGAAAGGTTTTCAGTTCCTGTGGCGCATTGAACGTCAGGTATCTTGAAGCCCTTTCTTTTAAAGGTTTCACTATGTTTGTAAATAATGTTGGTGCATTATATTGTGTTTTTACTGGAATGCTTAGATTGGAAGACCAGCCTTCGATGCATTTATCCTGGATTATATTGATGAATTCAAGTTCCAATCAATTGACACTAAGACATTTCTTCACTTCCTGAAATTTAAAGTCCCTGGAATAGAGAAAGATATAGACCTGGTGTTGTGGACTGAGGGAACTGGTATCCCACCAGATGCATGCGAACCAGTATCCGATCTATACACCAAAATTTTGTTATTGGCAGATGAATTCAAATTTGGGAGGATTCCAAGGGAAGATGAAGTTGCAGATTGGAAAGGGCAGGAATGGGAGCTCTACTTAGAGAATCTGCCTAGAGTTCTCGAGGCTTCTCAGGTAGTACTTGTTTTCTCTTAAAACGACCATTTCTTCTGGTTTATAAGATTGCATGATTTTATAATGCTTTTTGAACTTCCAGTTTAAAGATTACTTGTTCCTTTGAACTTCCTTAAATTCATATAAAGATGAAATTTTAATTAGTGGATGCAATTAAACTACTATGCTAGATGTGTGCTATTGTGGGCATGGAAGGAAAATTAGGTTAGGAACTAGCATGCCAAGAAAAAGAGGTGGGTTGAATCCTTGAAGAATAATAAGAAATGACATGTTTGAATTGATTCGACTTGTAAGGAGAAGACTGTAAGAATTGCTTCCACGGTATCGGATGGAGGATATCATGTCAATGAACAATTATGCAAGAGGGACTGATTTTTTTAGGAACTCATTCGGATAAACAGCACAACATATGCTATTAGCAGGCTAACCTATTATTAGGAAGGGACTAAATGTCATCTAGTTCTCTTATCCTTTTTCTAATCAATGACTGGAAAACGTGTAGTGAGATGAAATATATTAATGTCAATTAGCTGCCACGAGATACTTTTCAAGTTGCTTAGTTTCTTTGGCTGCATTGAGGGAAATATCCTTTTGTAGAGGATGGATTTGCTTATGTTGTTGAATATAAAGCTTTACTGTTTTCTGTGATGCTAGGCTTTTTCTAAGGTTTTAGAGTTTTTGGATGTAATCTGCACTTATTTTCCCTGGTAAACTTGAGGCTGTTCTTAGATATGAAACTTTAATGCAGACCTTTAGATTTGGCCCGAACCTTCAAATTTTAATCGATCTTGTGATAGAATGTATCTTTTCTTGTTTGGTAGTGTGTGGGTTGGTTTCACCAGAGCTCGTTTGTTGGCCTCTTCACTCAATACGTTTCCCTTAGTTGACACTTCAAATCATTACTTTTTGTTGTCAACTCAGTCTCTGGTATACGATATTGTTCATGCAGGTCTTAGCCTTGGACGAACACTACAGACTATCCGAATCAAAGGATTATGAAGTAAAAGTGGCTTTTCTTCAACTAGCAATCTTATCCCAATGCAAAAAATTCTATGGTGAGGTGGAGAAAACTTTGAAGGAAGTTGGGAGGATGAAGTACCTTCGCCCACTTTACACGGCTCTCGTACAAGGTGACGGGAAAGAGGAAGAGAAGATTCTGGCCAAACGAGTGTTTTCAGAGGCTCGTGAGTGCTATCACCCCATAGCTCAAGGAGTTGTCGAGTCGATTCTTGCCTAGCACATCTAAAATTGTGCATTGACACGCTATGTAATATATGGTACCAAAGACTTTCCATCCACCCGAGAATAGAGATTTAGGTTACAAAGTTTAATGCACTTGCGTTTGCGCTTAACTGGAATGAAAAATTTGATGATCAAATATTGTGTAGTCAGGGACGGAACCAGGGATTAAAATATCAGACTATTTTAAAAAAATATATAGACTTATTAGGTATTTAAATTCAAAATTCAGTATAAACTAAGCAATCTTAGTGATTAAGGGATTGTTGTTATCTTTGAGGTCTCGAGTTTGAGTACTGTTCATGTGAGGGTATGAGCGTTAATTGTTAAATAGTTGAGAGTTTTTGTACATATATTACTTTGTATTCACCCTAGATTTATAAAAAAAATTCAAAATTCACCAGATAATACAATGTGTAATATTAAGACTTATAATGACTTAAATTGTTTTTAGACTAAAAATTTTGAGAACACGGGGTTATTCTTCTTTAGTTTTGTCATATTTGATTAAATATTTAATAAATTTTTATATTTTTTTAATTTAAATGTTTATTTTTATAGGAATCAAAGTACTATTAAACCAAAATTATTTTTTCTCTACCAGGTTTTTTGCCAATTCATTTTGCTTTTTCTTTTCAATTAATTATTGAGCTTTAATGGGAAATCATTAGAATCGATTTGTTTCCAAAGCCTTTACTTTTGGTGTTGCATATTGGGGTAAATATTAGAACTTTCTAAATTCTGATGCTTCAATCCTAAATAAATTTACTTAGCATACACCTTACTTAAATGATTTTGTCCCCTTTTGGGTGTAGTGTGGATTTGAGAGGATTGGTGGAGCAGAACAAGCAGAATATTATGCCGCCGACGTCACGAATGACTAACTATGTTGTTCTGAAGTTTGGTGATCTTGCTAGTTCCCCTGTAAGTTAATTGTAACAAATTTATTCTGTTATTAAGAGCTAAGATCATTTACTCTAATCAATTACAATTTTGTTTTATGATGATAATTTTTTCTTTAAAAAAGGCATTCTAATCAGTAATCAACCAATCACTGATGGAGGTTTTGTTTCTTATGTAATGTTCATTCATATATTTCATCCACATAACTGTTGTAATCAGGGAAAAGGAGAAGCTAATTAGGAAAAGATGGGGAGTTCCTATGAACCAACAATGAACATTGAAATGATATTATTCTTCTTGAGTGTAGCACTTGGAACTTACATGTATGTGGTGTCAGGATGGCTAGGACGTTGTTGGTTTCACTATGCTGCAACTAGGGATGGACATGAGTCGTGAAGGGTTGGGTTTTTGGATGATCTAAAAATCTAAAGCTTCTATCTGAACCTAGCCCACATTTGATGATTTTCACATGTCCTAAATTTTGGGGTTAAAATCTTCTCCGGCCCGAAACAAATAAAAGGTCCTCATATTTTATTCAAAAATAAAAGGATTATAGAATATATATATATATATATATATAAAGAGGGTCATTATAATAACCTATTTTCCCTATTTTATTCTATAAAAATAGAGAGGTAATTGAAAAAAAATGGAGAGGGGCATTATAGTAATTATCCTTAAATACATAAGGGAAAACTATAGTAGTATCTTGGGTCAGCTATTTTTCACACTAAATCCAACTCCGACTTGAACCCATTTTTTAGAAATCCAACTTTATAGGGTTGAGTTAGAACCTGTCGGGTTTGGGTACCATGCCCATTTCTTGTTGCAATTTCATGAAAAGCTTTTTCCATTTTTCTTATAGGGGTGACATATTTTGGGATTTTGCGAGTAAATTGAAAAGCTTTTATTTATTGTGTTATAAACCTAGAGCTTAATAATATCATTTCTCTTCGTTATGAAATATTGGAAAAGTTAAAGAATAAGGAACTTCTTAATTATTCATGTATGCATTAGTTTAAACAGTAAAAATGAGGTGTGGTCTTGCTGTAAGCCAGATTTTATTTTGAGATTTGTCATAATGTCATTTATCTGTGTGCAGCTTATTTGCTCTCTCTCTCTTCCCTCTCCCACGAATTGGGTTAAATGGCACATATCTCTAAGCCTTCTGAGTTACATTTAGAGCTTAAATTACCTAATGTCACCGGAGAAACAGATGCGAGAAAATTTTTCTGTTAAAATGTTTCTGGATAGATCATAGATTTTTAAATCGGCATGAAAATTTTGAATAGATGTGAGATTTGGCCATCATTGTATGAGGCATTTCACACTCTTGACTATTTTTCCCTAGAAAGCAATGGCTCTCTCATTCAAATTATGCATCTTAGTATTCTCTAGTCTCTTTATGGATTGTGATGTATGAGTAAATTAATCAAATAATGTAGTTGAATTTGTAATTTCTTTTATTCAGGGTCCCGGTGTTTTCATAAGTGGAAGTAACTGCTGTTTTATGGTGGTGTTCCAGTATGGTTCCATCGTGTTGTTTAATGTTCGTGAATGTGATGTGGATCAGTATCTGAAAATTGTTGAAAAACATGCGTCGGGATTGCTTCCTGAAATGAGAAAAGAGGGCGAGTTCACAAGTTCCCTACATATATTATATCATTTGTATTTCTTGCCAGTTTCTTTCTCTCCTGCTTATGCATGTCCCATCCAGCCATTCTTGCATTCACCAGATACATTGTGGTTTCTCATTTATATGTTTCAACACATGGGCATGAATACACATACAGACATACTATTAGAGATAGTTTGGGTTTCAACCTCGTACTTTACCGTCATTTTCAATGGATTTCTTCTTGATAACTCATTCACTTGATGCTGCGTTTTTATCATTCAATTTTCTGACTGGACCCTGTTATTCGAGATTAGATCCCGTGCTTTCATAAGGAACAAAGAAATGCAGAAGGTACTGCAATAAAGGAGTTCTGTTTGATTGTTTTGTTTCTTTTTTATATGTACGAGCAGAATATGAGGTGAGAGAGATGCGTGCTCTAAATACGTGGATGCAAGGTGGATTGGATTACATCATGTTGCAATTTTTGGATATTGATGGAATCCGTACCATTGGAAGTGTTCTTGGTCAAAGTATTGCTCTCGACTATTATGTGCGCAAGGTGTGTAGTGTTTGATTGCCCATGTCTGCTTTCTGAGCATCTAGCTTGATAATGACAGTCAAAGCTTTTTTCCTTAGGTTGATGGGATGGTTGCGGAATTTACTGACATAAATCGTGGGATGGAAAAAACAGGAACATTTACTATGGACAGCAAGAAACTTGTCAGATAGTGGGAAAGGCAAACTCTAATCTTGCTGATGTGATTCTTAAGCTCGGACTTTTTGAGAGGTAACTTTTTTTACCCATTACAGAGAAGGTAATCAACCCCACTATGTACCGTGACCCTGTAACTTTCTCTAAGGCTACTATTTCCAAATGAATTTGTAATAATTTCACATTATTATTATTTTTTAAATAAAATAACCTCAGTGACCAAAAATTCTAGATAATATACGATTTTGATCAATTTTTTTTGGATTTGCGAAAATGACCAACAAAATCGTAATGCGATCTCTAATTCGCATTGCGATCTCCACTATCGCAAATTCGCGTTGCATTTCGCGTTGCGATAGTTGAAAATCGCGTTGCGCTTTTCCATTTCGTATTGCGATAGTTGAAAATCGCGTTGCGATTTTCCATTTCGCGTTGCGATAGTCTACAGTTGTCGTTGCGATAGTCTACAGTTGTCGTTGCGATTTTCCAAATTCGTTGCGAAAATTCGTTGTGATAGTTAAAAAAAAAAGATTTTATTTCTTAAGAATTTTCTCTAAAAAGATAGTGACGTGTCGAAGACACGTATTACCACGACCACGATCCGACCCGAGACGAGACGGACGGCGGCGGCGCGCAAGAGTCCCCCTTGTTCTCTATCACTCAACAAGGAAGTGGGAAAGCCAAGCCTTAAATATCATTCCCAATAGTGTTTCCAATACTATGTGGGATTGAGCATTACCAACACTTGTTTCCAATACAATGTGATTATTCAGGAAACAATTAACAATCATGCACCTTAAAACAACTGAATCAACAATCAATTTGCATTAGTATTATACAATTAAATATGTCATAATTAAAAGTCAATCTACAATCAATCGTGATTATTGCAATTTTAAGCAAAACATTCAAAAATAATATCACTATTTAAGGGTCAATCTCACATAGTATTGGGAACAAGTGTTAGTAATGCTCAAATCCCACATAGTATTGGAAATACTATTGTGAATGGTATTTAAGGCTTGGCTTTCTCACTTTCTTGTTGAGTGATAGAGAACAAGGGGGACTCTCGCGCGCCGCCGCCGCCGTCTCGTCTCGGGTCGGGGTCGTGGTCGTGGTCGTGGTCGTTCTAATACGTGTCTTCGACACGTCCGCGCGGATACTATCTTTTTAGAGAAAATTCTTAAGAAACAAAATCTTTTTTTTTAACTATCGCAACGACAACTGTAGACTATCGCAACGCGAAATGAAAAATCGCAACGCGATTTTCAACTACCGCAACGCGAAATGCAACGCGAATTTGCGATAGTTGAGATCGCAATGCGAATTAGAGATCGCATTGCGATTTTGTTGATCAGTAAATCCAAAAAAAGTTGGTCAAAATCGTATATTATCTGGGATTTTTGGTCACTGAGGTTATTTTCTCTTTTTTTTTATTCATCTCATAATGGGATAAAATCATAAAAATACGAATAGGAATGACTATTTTTGTAACAACCCGAATATTTACAAAATAATATTAATTGAAATTGGAGGTAAATTGTGAAAATGGGTGAAATTAAGTGACTAAATTAAAATTTATGGAAACTTGTATGCCATTTTCGAAGTAAAGGAAATTCAGGGACCAAGCCTTGAATTTCCCCTAAAACTATCGGTAGGCTTGATGATTTAAGCGTGATTTCTGATTTACAATCAGAAATCCTAAATGCTATTCCTTCAATTTTCTTCCTCTCACACCTCCACTTTCAAGTCCGATCCAAACGCCGTCCGAATTTCGATCGTTGTTTTGAAACCACCGTTGTGTTCATCATCGAGCGAGGAACAAACCCTTCAGATTAATTGAAGCGAAACGCGGCCAAACGTCAGGAATTTCCAGTCAAAGTAGCGACAGTTTTTTTAGCTCTATCGCCGAGAAAATCTT